CCCAACAAGCAATCGAACTTGTTGAAAAAGATAACTTAAAGAAAACGATTAACAATTTTTTGCTATATTCACATTTAATTAATTAATTAACATCAATTAAAGTATTTGATTGCCTGATTAATTGACTTTGAGAGAATCATGAACACCTACTACTAGCAATTCCTATAAAATTGTCTGGTTGGTTTGGTTTAATGGTCAACTTCAAAGCTCATCCTTAACTTGTCTAATAAATTATCAAATATTTCATATCTCAATACAAGATATTAATTTGTTCATATTCTAAATAATATAATATTTTACGACTTCTAAAAAGTTATGTTTTCCCTATGGATTAGTTGTTGTCAATAAGCCAAAGATAGTGGTCAATTATTAAATTAATTAAATATTAAACCGCCCCAGAGAGATGATTTCTTGATTTGTTTCTTTTCTTTGGTATCTTCAGCTAATAAAATATGTGTAATTGACTTTGATATTAGTATTATTATATTAGTAATTTATAATTAAGAAACGTTGCTAGGATTAATTAACTTTTAGGATTTGAAATTCTTTCGCAATTTGTAAACGAGTTGAGTTGAACCGAATAGTGCTAAACTCGAAGCTCGAAGTTTGACTTATCTAAATTACTCGAGCTCGAAACTAGACTTGAACTCACTTCGAGTCTAGATTTGGACCTCATACTTGATTGATCATGTAATACTTGATACTATCAAGTTCAATTCGGCTCGACTAAAATTTTAAAAAATAAATAAATAAATTAATTAATCAAATATTAAAAACATCTTACATGCTTTTACATTATTCCAAATAATAAAAAAAATCATAATAAATCATCTAATGTCAATATAGAATTAACCATTTATATCATTCCATTTTATATATTTACAAAATACCAAAAAGAAACTTTTTCAAAAGTTTTGAACCTGTAATTTCCGCTTTTACTTTTTAACCGATGCCTAAAAGTTCAAAATGTTTAAATGTTTTGGTAATTTAAAAATATATAAAGAATAAAAATATAATATTATAAATACTTGATGTTCAAAATTTCATTATAGAAATAGCTTTCATTTTTAATTAAGTCCCATTAAGAAATTACTTTATTTGAACATTCTTCTTATTCTTCTATGTTCAAAAAAATTTTATTAGTCTATTTACCGAATTTACGAATAAATGAAGGTATTGATGGTTTACATAAAATTGTTTTATTTTGTTTCTATTGAAAAATGTTTAGATCCTTTTCTTAACCTGGGCGTTGCTAGTTTTATCATGTTTGTTTTCTTTATCTGTTCATTGTACTGTTTTAATGTTTATATAATATTCCAACAATGCAGTCGGGTCGTGTTGCTTGGAGACCTAAATTACCGGATTTCCTTACCAGAGAGAGAGACAAGATTGCTGGTAAATAGGAAGGATTGGAATACGCTGCTTGAGAATGATCAGGTAACTCGAAGAACGACATTATCACATACCTTAATTCACTTAGCATGATCAAAGTCTATTTTTGACGTTTAATAGTTAAATGAATCGTCTTTAACATCAAATATATAGGAATTCTTTAGGTTAGAGAGCAAAGTACAAACAAATAACCAAATTTACTTTGAATGTGATTGAATAATTGAAGCTTCGAATGGAGCTCATGGATGGTCAAGCTTTTGAAGCTTGGCATGAAGGAACGATCAATTTTGCTCCTACCTACAAGTACCATCCGACTTCTGGTGAATACTATGGTTGTGGTCATCTTGGAACCAAAAGCAAAAAGAAACGTGCTCCTGCATGGTACTTTTTCTCTATAATTTTATGTAATATCGATTTCTCACAGTCCACTATTCGTGCAAAAAAAGAAATTGTTCTCAAATTTCTTGATATCACTTTTCAAAAGGGACTTTCTTTTATGGCAAAATGTGTTGGTCATATTAGTTTGCAGCATAATTGCATCCATTAATGATTAAGGATCTATCTTGTGTATAGGTGTGATAGGATAATTTGGACGGGCGAGGGATTAAAGCAACTTCTATACACAAGAAGTGAAACCCCATTGTCGGATCACAGGCCTGTGAAAGCTATGTTCTCTACTGAAGTTAAAGTTTCACGATTGAGGTACCAGAGCTTTTGTTTATCAGAGAGATTTGGACGTCGGACCAGAAATAGTTTAGAATTCCATTCCGATGATGAGTATTCAAGTCATTCGGGACGGCTAAGCTTCCATATTAAAAATAAAATGACCCCATGAAAGTGAGAGGATTATTTTGAGTATATTTGCCTTGTGTTTCCACTGTGCTAGGTTGGTCTCCTTATTTTTTCAGCCCAAAATGTCGAAATCATCTCTCTTTGATTGGACATATACATACACTGATACATATATATAAGTACAAAAGCAAGAGATAGTAGCATATATTTTTGTAACATAAAATCCTTGAGATATGTTTTTTTCTGCCCACCAACTTTGATTCTGAAATGATTGTAATTGGCATTTAGTGAGGTGATTATTTAAAGACAAGTCATTCTTGTAAGTATTCGACTACATGTCGGTGAAACCAACTTCTTGTAAGTATATTTTAGTTGATTGCTGTGTACAGTATTACTATATGAAATGGATTTATCATAGATTTTTAATTTTGAGCCTAATTAATAAAAGAATTTCATTGTTGAGATATTATGTATAACGAATCTGTATATATATTATCTCAGTTTGAAGTAATTTAAAATAACTTATTTTGGATTTATTGGGAAAATTTATTTTTTGTTTGAAATTTATGAAATCAGATAAACACGAGAAATAACGAAGTATCAATAAAAGTAATAGTGATGAGCAACGGGCTGGACCCAAACCAAATCGGCCCGAAGACTGAAAACTTGAAACCTAAAATTCTTGAATATCCTTAACCGAAAACCGAATCTTTTAGGATGTGCCGGTCCTGGTTTCGGGTATGCCGGTTTCGGGTCCGAAATTGGGTTTCAGTTTTTTGACCGATTTGTAGCAATTTTTGGCCTAATTAAATATTTGTTGGACTTCATATAAGTTGTAGGACCATATGATTCATTGACATCTTTTACCAAATATTCTTTTCTAATAAAAGACTCCTAAACTTGTCACTTATCATCTTCTTAGAACCTATATTTGCCACGTGTCGTTTTTTATACTCAATTTCTCTCGTGTTCCCGCTCAAACAAAAATCCTATCTTAATTTCTAATTTGTTAATTTGTTAATTTGTTAACTAGATCGCATAAAATCAGGAAGTTTCCAAACTTTGAGCCGAATTTATGAAATTGATAACACCCTCATATTCTCTTCTTATATGAAGATTTATCCAGCATCTCCCTTTAATAATCTGTCGTTGCTTTCTAAAACCTTAATACATCACATCATCACTTTGTTCTATTGGATTACCTTTGATTCAAAAGTTCATATTGTTCACTACAAGGAAACAACCCTTTAATGACGTGCAAACAATGACACTCTCTGATAGTGGACGCGCATTTGTGCGTGCCCTAAAATTAGTGTCAGAAAAAGAAAAAAAAAGAAAATGCGGAGGCCGCGTTTCATAAAATGTGTGTCGTCCAAGTGTGTAGCTTTATAATTTTTTAATGAAACACGCGTTTTTTAAGGCGGGATTTCACCTCGCCTGTTGGATCCCAAAAATCAAACCCCCTTGTCTCTTTCGATTATCAAGAAAAAGCCCTGGGGCCTTCGTCTTCATAGCAGCATCACACCACCACCCAACCTCCGATCTCGCACCACCAAGTGTCTTCGACCATCTTCTCCAACCATTCTTTCCTGTCGTACTACACCGATAACAAAACCCCCCATCATGATATGCTAATGTTTGTATTTATGTTAATTGAGATCAAATCATTCATGTCACAGGTGCTCATGCTTCACGTTCGTATGATAAAACCCTAACCGTAAAAACCATCATTCTCTAGGTCGAGAGCAACGATTCCATCAAGAATGTCAAATACATGATACAGGTTCCTCTTTCTCCTCTATTCTTACCTCTAATTTTGATTTTGAAACTTCTCATCTTCTCCTCTATAAAACCCTAACCGTAAAAATTATATGGGTTTCAATTGTGATTTCCTCCTCCATACTCGATCCCCACTTCTACTCTCTACGCATATCAGATAGGATCCGTTCTTTCTCCCCTTTTCTCTTTCTTTTTCTTTGTTTTCTCAGTTACGACATCATTCTCCCCTACTTTCTACTTGTGCATCCCATTCTGATACTTTTCTACTTGATACAACCATCGATGATTCAAAACCATCAAATGCTTTAGCATCTATCGTTTTCGGGTATTCATCCCAATCCATTAACCCCTTTCATTTTTCATTAAATAAACCCTATTGATTTGGCAAGTTCATGAACTAGATGTAGCACATCCCAAACTGGGGTTTTAACCAAACCCGATAGAGCCATTGATGGAATCTTTGGATTCGGTTAACAAGGACTCTCTGTAATCGCGCAGCTTTCTTCACAAGGGATCGCTCCAGATGCTTTCTCTCATTGTCTCGTCGGAAACGGTGGTGGTGGTGGGATTTTGGTTCTAGGTCAGATAATCGAGCCAACCATGGTGTATACTCCATTAATCCAGTCACAGTAAGTTCTCTTTCGCTTATCTCTTATCATAAAACATTAACAATGGCGTACAGTCTTCTTACCCCTTTTCTCCCTTTTTTGCAATTGCTCAATCTCCCTTTTCTGTTGTATAGGCTATGATAAAACTACCAATGATTAGGATGACTACTCAAGATATGTGAATCCTGATGGAGTTGATTTATCTCATGTAAGAACCTGTTTCCTTTTGTGAGTTTTGTCTATTTTTTGACTTGAAAACATGTTTATCATTGTATATTGTTTTTGGTTTCATTACAGGGTATTTATGGTCATGGTTATGCACCATATGGACCTTATTCTCCTTCTGGCTCACCTATACCAACAGTAGGTCAATATGGTTAACTCTATGGGGCCCAACATTACCAGTACCCTACTTCATACTTCCCACCTATGGCCCCTACAACCCCTTACTCTCCTGCGCCTCCAAAGGGTAAGATCACAGCAACTAAAGAGGAACATGCTTTATCTTTGGACACATCTAAAGGAAACCCAAATGGTGTGAAGAGGAACACTGCTTCTACCCCTGTGAGGCCAACTTCATATCAGAATTTATCTTTCAATCCAAATGGAACCTATGGAAGAGGTGCATAAACTGGCTATCAAAATCCAAGATACACTTGACAGTCGATAGTTTCTCAATTTGCTTTAAACAATCTTTTCTATTCTTCTCTTTTGATCATTTGATGTTAATATTCGAGGCAAAATATACAAAATGGCAACATATTTTCATTTTTAACTGATGTATTGTGTCATAAACTTGCAGTCTATTACTAGAGCATATGGTAGGGTGGATGCAGATGGTTCCAGGTATCTACTTGGTGACCATCTTATTAGTTTTGTAAAAAATAATAATAATAATAAATAAATAAACTAATTAAATTAGAAGTTATAAATACAAATGTAACAGAAGCAACTATGTAAATATACTAGTTCCATTAGGTTTTCAACATACAGAGGAATTGCAAAGGAAATATTATAGCTTAATTCTTAACTATTTCCTGTTGCCTAGATTCTGATAGGAGTTCAATCACCCAACATTCACTACATTAAACTATATAACTATTTATGTAGTTCATAACTTATTCATTTGAAAAATATTAAATTTGACACTTATGTTCAGGTTTTTGCTGTTTGCAGCCTCAGGTAGAAGTTAAGGTTTTTGCTTGTAATACTGATGGTACTTACATAGTAGGAGGAGGAGTTTAGGTCATATTTACTTGTGGGGGGTGAGTTGTAAATTCATTTCAGTTTTCTAGTCATAAAAAATACATGGTTCTTTTGCCAATTTTTAATTTCTCTTCAAATTATATTGAAAACTTTGTTATTCTGTTTACTGTTGCTCTTTGGTTCCAACAATTCACTATTTTTCATAATTGGATTAACTATCTATGCAAAAATCATATAAAAACTGATCTTATTACAAGTCTTTTCTTTATTTCTTTTGATTTATTATAGGTTGCAACTGGTAGATTATTAAAGAAATGGCATGGTCACTATAGGCCTGTTACTTGCTTGGTATTTTCTAATGATCAGTCACTTTTGATTTCTGGATCTGAGGATGGAACTGTTAGAGTCTGGTCACTTCTGATGTATGTATAATTACTCATTTACCCTTTTACATTCGTGAGTTGCAATTTTAGCATTTATTACTATAATACATTTTCTTAATCTTGCGATCAGGATATTTGATGAGGAAGGACAATAAAGAGCAGGACATCTGTATGAATACCGTTTCACTGGTCATACTTTACCTGTAACTGACATTGTCACAGGCTATGGAGGATCCAATGCAATTATCTTATCTGCTTCTCTAGATCGTACTTGCAAGGTACATATTGCATAAATATTCGGAAAAGACGTGAATGCCCTCATGAATTTGTTTAAATTGCAGGTATGGAGCCTAACTAGAGGGACATTGTTGAGAAATATTGTGTTCCCTTCAATAATTGATGCAGTTGCATTAGATCCAGGGGAACATGTTTTTTTATGCTGGTAGGAGAGATGGGAAAATATACATTGCAGAACTCAATGCTCAAGTCACATCCAACAACAACAACAACTATGGTTTGCATATCATTGGCACATCCAAACACTACTTCAAAGTTCAAAGTAGGAAGTAGTAGGTATTCATTATATCTTTTGGAGAAAATATAAAAAGGGGTGTTTGGATTTTCTTTTCTTAAGTAATTATTCTGATTTCAAGAATAATAATCAGATATAATTTGAGAAATTTAGGGATAATATGATACTTTTCCATTTATCCTACAATAAATCTGATTTTGGCATCAAAGATTCTATCATGATGACTTCTTATACTGGAATTGTTCTGAAAATATCATAACCTCTTTTAGATGCTATTATTGAGAAGAGAGTATCTCTTTCTGAATGAAACAATACTATAACATCCTAAATTTAAGACTATATAATTAAATTAATAAGATAAAAGGGAAAATGGTAGAGAAAAGTCATTAAATTTGCTGGGAAAATTACCCTAAGTCAAGGGGAATAAGGGCATTTTCGGAATTTTACCAAAACTAGGTGGGGCTTTTTCACATGATGTTAATTTGTAGCTGCCAACGTCTCCCCAGAAAAGCTACAATCTGGTAGACCATCACCATCCATTTGAACTTTGAAGAAGATGACAATGCAATGTAAGTTTATGTTAATTATTTTCTCTTACTATTTATTTTTGAATTTATGACACTTTGGTTGCGTCGAATCTGATCTGGTATTCTGATGGTTATATATATATATATATATATATATATATATATATATATATATATATATATAATATATATATATACATATATATATAGGGTTAATGAAGAAAGAACTTAACATTTTACACACTTGCCCTCACTTCTTTTTTCCTTCTCAGCGTTGCCCTTTTTTCAACTACTTCATTGCCCTTTTTTCAACTGCTTTAGGTTTTGGTTGCATAACTTATTAAAACGGTACAAGAGTGTGTGTCAACCCTGGATTATTGAAAAAGGTATTTTACTATATTTTTATTAAATTTTAATATTTTATAACATAGATTGATGATGCTTGAAGGCATTCTAAATACTAATGTGTTATGATGAAAATAGGTATCATGTGGACAAAAAAGCATAACAATAAGTAGAAACAAGAAGGTGTTCGTTAACAACAATGTAGTATTAGGTTATATAGTTAGGGAAAACCTCTTAATAACAATGTACAATCGAATCCCCTTAATACCAATGTATTACAATTTTTTGACATGATGCAATGGATTCTATTTTTTGTATATGATATTTTATTTTCTATTATAAAACATTATGTACAAATTTAATTTGAAAATAAGTAAATCTATAAATAATATTTTTTTTAAATATTTAAAATTATGATACGCAAAAATGTGTGTCATCTTCATTTATGACATGGCCTTTCTTGACAGGGGCTTTCTTGATACGCATTGTGTGTCATTAACATGCGCGTCATAAGGTTACGACACGCGAATGCGTGTTGTCTTCCTTTATGACAGGGCCTTCCTTGATACGCATTGCGTGTCGTGAACGTGCGTCGTAAATGCGCGTCGTCTATAGACGACGTGCAAAAGTGCGTCGTCTCTCTTTATGACATGGCCTTCCTTGACGCGCATTTTCGCGTCGTCTAAGCCTTTTACGACGCGCAATGAGCATCGTAAAAGGCTGTTTTTCTAGTAGTGGTTGTGTTTAAAATATGGTTCATACTTTGCTTTTCTAGGTTTTTGTAATTTTTGGTCTTAGGCTGAAAACAATCTTAGGTTTAATTGTGGCTTGGACCGAAATCACATGTAGTTTCGGTCTAGCCTTTGAGTTGTGGGCTTGGGATTTTGGTCCATGTATATATATATATATATATATATATATATATATATATATATATATATATATATATATATATATATATATATATATATATAGTCACAAAGGGGAGTGTTTAGGGGTGGCTAAGGAGTAAGGGGCGTTCTTATGGAGCGATCATTGCCATAATTGTGTTCTAGAGAGAGAAACTAGAGAGAAGAAATGTGTGTGTGTGAATCTTGTGTAACAGATCATCATTCAAATCATTGAATACATTGAAGATTCATCTAGTTCTTCTTCTTCTCCATTCTATCTTGCATCATCCACTTGATTGGGATTCTGCACCATCAAGTGGATCGGATTGATACGTCAAGCGAATTTGGGGACTTATAGTTGGTATCAGAGTTTGGATTGTATCAATCATTTTGGCAAGATCTTGAACGTTTTTGGACTTTTTCTTGAAGGTTTTGGGGTTTTTGATTAGTTTTGGACAAAATATTGGAGGTTTGTTCTTCGTGTTCTTCATAAAAATGAGTTTTTGATTGAGTTTTACATCAAAAAGTTGAAAATTTGTGTTTTTTTGGTCGTAACCAATGAGGGCCAGGGTATTTCTGAGGTGTTTTCGGTTGGAAGCTCGTATTCGGTCAGCAAGTTCTCGGCCGGAAATGTGTGTGCAGACAACAGGTTCTCGGTGGAGCATGTTCGAGATTTCAGTGGAGCATCTGAGGTTTGTGATGGAGCGGTTTCCGAAGGTTTTCGGTCTCGCACGTGTTCGGTTGTCGCTGTTCTCGGTTAGAAGGCGTTTTCGGTGCACAGGAGCTTTCGGTCAGCAACATTTTCGATCAGCGAGTGCGAGAGTTGTCGGTCAGCCTAAGAGGCTTCGCATTTTCGGTCTAAATTTTGGATTTTTGACATTTTTGGTCGAAAAATCAATTTTTTCGAATTTTGAAGTTTCATTTTCGGCATAAAGCTTTAACTTTCAATTTTTGACTTACTAGTTTTACTTTGAGCTTAAAAATTGACTTTGACTTTCAAGTTTGACATTTGATTTTAAACTTTGACTTTCTCGTTTAATTTTTAAGTTTTCACGTTTAGCTTTTTGGTTTGACTTTTAAGTTTTATATTTTTAATTTTACTTTTAAGGTTGACTTTCGAGGTTTCAAGTCAAAGAGCATTTTGATAAACAATGAGTTCTTCAAACACCAAGGTTAATGAAACATCATGTTCTCAGTCTTGTGAAGCTACGATTAAGCTTCTTCATGATCAAATTGATATACTACGTAGAGACAATGAGTACATTAGATATGAAGGCTATACTCTTAGAAAATGTCAAAAACCTTTAAAAGAACAACTAGAGGCCAAAACCTAGGACTTTAGAAAATTTCAAGAAGAATATAGTAACAAATGTGAGAATTATGACTATGTTAAGAGACAGGTTGCTAGCTTGACTATTACACTTGATGCATTAAAAACTAAATATAAAGATGTTGAATTCAACTTTAAGAAATTTGATGTGTCAAGTGAGGTAGTTGCGTCCATGATGTAAAAACAACTAAAATTTAAAGATAATCAAAACAAGGGTTTAGGGTATCACGATGTCCCACCTCCTTTCAATGACAACTAACCCACCGCTTGAGACTAACGAGGAAGAGATACCTACTCAGTATGACCAAACCCCTGTACCAGCTTCAGTTAAGACTGATCAATCAGGGCAAACTAAGAGTGTTGAGAAGAAAGATTCTAATGATTATACTTCATGTGCAGGTAAAGTAGTGGAATATGCGAACAAGGAGAATATAATTAGTTCTGTTGATTCTGTTGATTGTCAAACCAAGGTCTCCTTGATCTCTGAATCTATTGCTTCTAACTTAGTTACTTCTAATCAACCTGTTGTTGGTAAATACAAGCCACCAAAACAAGCGAATGGACTGCTTGTTGTATATGTGCATGTGGGAACAATCAGAAACGAGGCAAGGGAATGCCATTAGGGGCAGGCAGAAACAATTCCTATGTAAAGAAAAAGACATATTTTCACTGTGGAACACCTAGACACATTGTTAGAAATTGTCCAAATCACGCATATGTTCCCTATTATGCACAAAGATGGCAGAATACGCCAACAGGGAGATTTTCCAAAAGAAACCCTTCGAGGCCACGTTCAATCAATGGTGACTGGAATGCCAAGAAGGGAAAGAATCAAACTCCCAAGGTCAAGAATGAAATGAAGGCCAATAAGTACAATTCAAGAAATGCTCCAGTGAAACCAAGTCCAGTTAGGTCAAAGCTATCTCAGCGGCCTGTTTCAAGTTCAAAAACAAGTATTGAGGCATCCATCCGATCAAACAAGAAATGGGTTAAACCCGACTATAGATGGGTACCAAAAGTTCATACTCCTAAATCTTCTAATGATTATAACATTTCTTCATCTTCTGTTCGTGGTAAGCAGGATATGTCATGGGAAAGAGTAACTTGCAAAGATAACAAAGGTCAACCCAGTTTCAAAACGGAATGGGTTCCAAAGATCAAATAATTCTGCACTTTGTGCTGGAGCAACTTTAGAGGAATATCATCAAACTTCGGTTTGTTGATAGTGGTTGTTCCAAGCACATGATAAGGGACATCTCTCAACTGTACAAATAGGGAAGGATCACAAATAGGGATTGTACTTAATGATGTGAAGAATTTTCGGATCTGTTCCGAGATTGAAATATGTGTGCGGTTCTCATATCATTTGGATGCAAATTCAATTGGTGACTTACGGTTTGATTTTTCTTCTCGATACTCCTGAGTCTTGTTAAAATGATTCGTTCCAAAGACAATTTTTTCTAATTTTGTGCATTTATTTTATTTCTTCCCTATGCCCAAATTAAGGGGGAGGAAAAAAAATCAAAAATCAAAAATTAAAAAATATGTCTTTCTTTGGTAGGTGTTTGTTGGGAAGTGATATGAAACATAGTGTTAAAGAGAAATCTAAAATTCGTGTAATGTAGTAAAGCCGAATTGTTTAGATTTTGTGTTCAATGTGTTGGTAAGCACGAAAGATTCAAAAGGACTAGACATAGTTGACAATGAAAGGACTTGACAGTATGGACTTAGATAGTTTTATTTGGACTGACAATATGAAGCTTGGATAGATTGGACAGTGAGATAAACATGGGATCCTACATGATATATTAAAGCCATATGT